ACACCTTGGACCCTTCCTTGGCCAACGGCGGTCATCACGTCCTGTTTTCGGACGTGTCGCAGTGCTCGGGACACTTTACTCATGAGCGTAGTGTCCAATCTTATGACAGCGGTGGCATCTTGCCGTTAGCTTGTGACTCAGATAGTGAGAGTTTTCGCTCTCGATGTAACAGAGGTCCATTTGTTCGGGACCTCCTGTTTCCTGTCGTCTCGTCGGACGATAGTTTGACGAGATAACCTGAGACCGTCTCAGGCTGAAGTCTTCTTGTTCAGCATACGCTATCGCCCCTTCCAGCGTATGGAAGTCCTATCGGAACATGTAGGTCTTCACCGGCCTATCCACAACACCGTAGATGAACATGTTGATGAGCGTGTGCTCATCAACAGGGTTCTCCGTGACGCTACTCGCAAGGTAGCGTAGGTGTTGTGCGTAAGCATGCACATCACACTTACCTTGCTTGAGCATCAAGAGTGCAGAGCGTGCTATAAACTCGGCTCTTGGTGGCTCAAACGTCTCTTTGAGCCGACACTTCAAGGTTTACAACGACTCAAACACGTTTAGGTTGTGAAGCTTGATCCCTAAGGCCCAAGTCTTTCCTCGTCCCGTCAAATTTGACAGGGCGAAGGTGACTTGCATCTCGCCAACCTCGATGTGACGGGCCCTGATGGCATCGTCTAACTCGACAAACCATCTCAAAAGGGAATCTTCATCGGTTCCCTTGTATCTTGAGATATCAATCCTCAAGGTTTCGGGTCGACGCATGTGCGTCGGTCCGCCCATCGACTGATGAGAGCCTTGCTGCTGTAGCAAGGCTATCTTCTGTCATTCGACGGCAAGTTTCCCTTGTAGGAACTTGTTGATAGCAGCATGTTGCTGGTCTCTGTTTAGAGACTCCAACATGCCACTGATGGCGGGTTCACCCATGATTACACTCATGCTGCCGACTACCTCCCATTCTGAGTCACTCAGATAAGAGTAGCCTTCATGTGTGACGTGAAAGCCGTCGTCTTCTACGTCCAACATGTTCATGTTGGACGGACTAAAAAGTGCTACCAGGTGTAACGGGCACCCTTTGTCCGGGCGCCACAAAACTTCACGTACACTAGGACGTGCAGAGGAAACTAAGCTACTCAACAACTAAGCTGAGTAAAAGGTAAAACGAGAACTGTATGAAATGTAGTCAAGCTATCAATATAACTTTAATCTTTATCTAACTGTATTAAACTACGTCGTCACACCGTCTGCTCACCACTCATTGCGCGCGTCTAGCAGCGATTGGTGGCAATCTGTGGTTGATATGTCTTACATCAACCAATCTTGGAGCAGCGCATGAACATTATTTAAAGGAGATCACATTCCTTCAATATTATCCATCTCGGATAATATTGGTAGGATGTTGTAATGCTAGACATGTCTCTATTGACACCGTTTGGTGTCAATATCATGTAACAGGCTGACCCGTTACAAACCTGGCTCTTGCAGTTGTCGCCCCGGGTGATCCGACGGCGTAAAGTGTCGTGATCGAGTCGGATGCATCATCCGACTCGCCAGAATAGGTGAGCTCTATTTCAGACTCATCTGGATTACGATTCGGGGTACCCGCTGCAGATGCAGCGGATGTACCTGCCGCACGTATTGACTCACCACGTGGAGGATTCACAGCAGCAAGCGACGAATCACCTGCTGTTGAGGTGTGAGAAGTACTCTCTTCGGCTGCACGCATACGTGTAGCCGCATTTCTTGCTGCTGCATTAGCAACTCGCGTGGTTTTCGAAACCATGCGCTGAATTGGCAAATAAATGGGATTTGACCAACAAGTGCTCCCTTTCCCAGAGTGATTCAACGGTGGTCACCCTTTCTCAATCAATTTTAATTCAATCAACGGGTGATTGATAATAAAGGGGGGGGTGATGTAACGGGGTAGCCCGTTACGTGATATTGACACCAAACGGTGTCAATAGGGATATTGTCTAGCATGACAACATCCTACCAATATTATCCGAGATGGATAATATTGAAGGAATGTGATCTCCTTTAGATAATGTTCATGCGCTGCTCCAATTTTAGTTGATATAAGACGTATCAACCACAGATTGCCACCAATCGCTGCTAGACGCGCGCAATGAGTGGTGAACAGGTTGTCGTCATACGGGCGTAGTTCAACATAGTTAGATAAAGATTAAAGTTATATTGATAGCTTAACTACATTTCATACAGTTCTCGTTTTACATTACTTGATCGAGTCGTTCAAGTAGCTTAGCTTCCTCTGCACGTCCTAGTGTACGTGAAGTTTTGTGGCACCCGGACAAAGGGTGCCCGTTACAAAGTGGATGTTTTAAAACTTCTCAAGTTTCCGGATAAGGCGGTTGCCACATACCTCTCTGACCTGGACGAGAACATCCGAGAGCACCTTCTCATGAAGGCTTACAATGCAGATGTGAATGAAGGCGACCGTAAGGCGATTGGGCCAGTTCTGGCTGCACTGAGTTACTGATGATGATCCAGGCCCGAAGGTTGGACAGATATAGCTGACCAGATTATGGTAGCCTCCAGCGGGTGAGGACAAGGACCAAGGATAGAGAGCTGTACAGGTGCTTTATAAGGTGTCTTAGTTGAGTTAAGGCAGCTCGTGCGAAGGGATTGCCCGACAACGACTTTTCAGCTACCTCATGACGGGGAATCATCAGCTCAACAATGGTCCGATATCTGGACCGGCGCTTTTTTAGCAATTTGAAGCGGTCAGTAATGACGGTGATCATAGTTAAGGCAGATGCAGCTCTTGCTCACGTTTACCAATCTCACTGCTCACTGCTCGATACATGCTGTGTCACGTGGCTTTGCAATTCGCAGATAAGAATATGGGCATAAAGCGTCGTTCTTAGATGGACAAGATAAACTCAAGCTTCTACCTCCTCGGTAGTCAAGGGCCGCTCGCAGAATACAGCAGCACTTTGTGCCATGTCATTACGTTGGTCTCGTCTGGCGACCGTAAATCACAATCCCGACCACCACAAGTACTACTTGTGGACACGACTTGCGGATTGTATACGACTGTACACTCAGTCGTGACGAAGTATTCAAGCCCTCGCATGCACGTGGCCGTAGCTCGAGGTTCAGTGGTTGCAAAACTCGCTAAAACTACGTTCACGGAACCCCGCAGAACGGTGGGCACGATACGCTGTTACTCCAGCACCTACAGACTAGCTTCTACGTCTAGTAGTATACACGTTGTCTTTGATACATGCTCGGTCGAGAGTTGCCCTCATTCACATGGCAAGCAAAGGCTCAAACGTGTTGCCTACAGTATCTTTCTATGGCAGAACGACGTCACGAATGTGAAGCCTTCGTAGTCTAACAATAAAGGCAGGGACACTATGTCGTAGTCATTAACTCGTGACACGCTTCTTTGTGAGGACAAACGCTTTGTCACAATATCTTATCAAGCTACCGACTCGCGACGTTTTAACATGTTACAAAGCCCTCGTGTAACGAGGCACCCTGAAGCTTGTACTGGTGACAGTACAAGCTAATTATTCTGTTAACAGAATAAGGCGGTGCCTCGTAACTTCACGTACACTCGTACGTGCAGAGGAAGACGGTAAGAAGAAGCGAGTACTCGGTTAGAGTAAAAAGTAGAACTGTATTTATAATAGTTAATGTCTGCAATAAATCACTATTTATCTTCATCTAACTATGTCTAAATACAAATGTGTAAATCAGTTATCTGCTCACCACTCATTGCGTGCGTCTGTCGTGGCGCGTCTTCGTTGGTTGATATAATGGCCTATATCAACCAATTAGGAACTACTTGTAAGTGCTACAGAATATTTGTCCTTATGACATATTTCTGAGAATATAACTCTTATAGTTATATTCAATCAACAATTTCTTATAAATTGTTATGTAACGATTCACCCCGTTACATCACCCCCCCCTTAACCATCAGTCACTTTAGTGACTGATTGACTAAATGGATACTCGTCCCAAATCATTTGGGACAGGGTTTGCGCTTGTTGGTCCGCGTCCACTTTCCAACATCTCATCGCATGGCTAACAAGCCCATGCGATGCGCGAGCAAGTCCGCCGAGAGCGCGTCTGCACGTCTCTGTGCGGACGCCGAAGCAGAAACAACAGCAACTGATGTCCCATCGGTTGCTGAAGCGACTCAGCCTGTGTCACTTGGTGACGCAGGCGCTGGTCATGAAGACACTCGTGTCTTCACAGATTACGAGCTCGGTGTCTCGTACTCTCCTGATACGGAAGACGGATCCGTATCGACGGCGATCGAATCTAAGCCGCCAGCCAAGCGTGGCATGGACGATGCTTTGCGTCGCAGCATCTTTGGTTCATCTGATGAATCAGATGAACCATCGCCGAAGCGAAGGCGCTCGAGGTCGCGAGACTCGGGCGCTAATAGTGGTGTCGGTTCTCCAATGGACACCACTTCACAGCGAGGTGCCAGTACTTCTGTCGGCACGTCGCAGGAAGAGCGGGACCGCAATGTGTTGCGTCTCGCTCCAGAAAAGAAGGCATGGATGCCTCCGAAATCCGTCATGGATCACTTGTCGGCGACGACGAGTGATCGTTATCGAACACGATTGTTCGATTCGTCAAGGATCCATCACCTTGACCCCAGCGCGAAAAACTATCGCGCTGAACACGAATTCTTCATCGATGCTTTCTTCAGACATCGATGGTACAGTGGGAACCACAAGCGTGATGGTCCCTCACTACTTCAAGCGTGGAACGCCTACATCCATAACCTCGAGGATGTAGGTCGTGACGCTTGGAACGACAAACTTATCAAAGCTCGTGATAAGTTTGAAAAGCGAACCCCGACAGGTGCACGCTACAATCTGCATCGTCTGTCAAGGGAGAAAGGATTACCCTGCCTCTCTTGGGGAGACTCGTGCCCATAATGTGTGAACAACTCTGCGCGATCACCTAAGGAGGCTTACCTCCTTACCAGCCCGTGGTGGCGCGTACGTGTCTCTACCGAGATGTACGAAGGGATTGACAACCTGAAATCCCTTTACGACCGTGCCGGGAAGACTTTCTCCGGCGGTCCTTCTGCGGCACAGGATGTGCCGCGTCGTACTGCTCAACCAGACCCAGTACGTCGATCATCAGTTGGGAGCGGGGCTCCCAAGAATTCCAGGACGGGGGATAGCCGCGCCACCGGACGAGATAACTCGTCCGACGTCCGTTCACGTCGCGGTGGTTCAACAGCTGCTCAACTAGATAGCGCTGGCCACCGCGAGAGTCCTCTAAAGGAGGTGGAGGAGGAGGAAAGACGCTCTCCACACGATCATGTGGATCGGTGTGTTCCTGAGAGCTTCTTTGATCGCGTAACGCAAGGGTTACGCGACGATCTCGAGCATGAGCGGAATAGGCGTCTCCAAATGGCGGACACTGCCTTGAAGCATCGAGCTGAGTTTGCCTTTGCTCAGCTTGAGAACGAGAGATATCTGACATCTCTTCGTGACGAGCTAAGGGTAGCTCGTGGGATTGTTGATCGGTCTCGGGCTGAGATAACTGCTCTTCAGACCCTTGTTGATGCCCACCATCGGGAGCACAAGGCTCTCTGCGAGATGCTTGAGCGCAAGGGCGTTCTTCATCGGAAGAAGCAGCGTACTGATGGTACGGCTTAAGCCGACCAACGTAAAACGTGGGATGCGTTCGCATCTTACGTGGCAACTCGATCGTGTATGCATTGCCTAGGCGGTGCAATACACGAAATGGGCCAATGTACTTGGGTAGTAGTTTACTGCTACCCAAGTTAGTCACTACATGCTTTGGTAGGTTAACCGTAGACAGTAGGACTAAGTCACCTTTATTAAATAAAAGAGTGTTTGCCCTTCCATTCTTGTCAGCGTTTTGCTTTTTCTTATCCACCGCTTCGGCGATGGAGTCTTGCACAAAACGGACTACCGTTTCACGAGCCAGTATGAACTCATCTGATGACACGTTAGCTTCAGTGTGCTGTGAGCGCACTGCAGCAACAACAACCTTTTCTTCAGTGAGGGCTTCCGCACTCTCACTGGGATCATTGTCTTCAGTGAGGGCTTCCGCACTCTCACTGGCATCATCTTCTTCGATATCGATGTTATCGATATCGGCATCAAACGCAATGACTTCTTCGTCAGAGCGTGATGAGCGTGAACCAAATCGGTTTTTGCTCGCGCGAGTCCCTCCCCCCTTAAACCAGAGTCACACTCTAGTAAGGTGGGTACACGCGGATGGCGCAAGCCATTCACGTAAAACGGTGTATGTGTCGTGGACGCATGCACCGAGTTGTTGATGGCAAACTCTACCATAGGCAAAAACTCACTCCAACTCTTAAAGGAGTGTACTTATCCTCGAAGTATCTCTTCAAGGACACGATTGGCACGTTCCGTCTGACCATCTGACTCTGGATGATCAGATGTTGACATCTTCAAGCGCGTTCCGAGTGATTTGAACACGGAACGCCAGAAATCAGCAGTGAATCGTGGATCTCTGTCTGATACGAGTTCACGGGGCAACCCATGAAGTCGGAAGATGGTGTCAATAAAGACACAAGCACAGCCACTTGCCGTGATTGTCTCTGGTACAGCCACAAGGTGTACCATTTTGCTGAATCTGTCAACAAATACGAGAATACCCGTATTCCCGCGTGCGTCTTTGGGTAACCCGAAGACGAAATCCATTGAGATGGATTCCCAGCACTCAGCCGGAACCGGTAGATGCTGTAAAGGTGCACGCAGTGAAGGACTTGACTTCACTCGTTGACAGACTTCACATGCGCGAACATACTTTCGCACAAACTGATACTGGCGGGGCCAGTAAAAGTCTCGACTTACCGTGAGATATGTTTTCTCTCGGCCACGATGTCCTCCTATAGGAGCATCGTGATACTCGAACATGATCCGCAAACGCAGATCAGTATCATTTGGAATGACAACACGTGGTGTGTCACCAGAAACGGCTGTATAATACAGTAAACCGTTACGAGTAGTGTATCGATCTGATGCAGATCGATACGCAGGCGACAATCGTTTCAACGATTCTCGGGATGGTTGGGAGAGATGTGTCAACAACTTCACTATCTCACCATCTTGGGCATACGCCCGCCTCACATCATCATACAACGTTGTAGATGGGACTGAGGACGTCATAACCGCAACAGTGACTGTCTCACTGTTGGGTTTCGCGACTGTTTCAAAGTCGGGACGACGTGAGAGTGCATCAGCGACGACATTAAGTCGTCCTGGTTTGTACTCAACCGTAAAGTTGTATTCCGCAAAGAATGACAACCACCGCGCCATTCGTTGTGAAAGGTGCGGGCTGTTCACTGCCGTGCGTAATGACGCATGGTCAGTGTAAACAATAAAAGGTCTATCTCCTAATAGATAGACTCTGAACTTCGCGAGTGAATACTTCATGGCAAGGAGTTCCTTGTCATGCACTGGATAGTTCCGCTCAGCTGGTTGCAGCTGACGCGACTGATAGCAGACGACGCGTTCAACGCCTTCAAGATCGTACTGCATTAGTGCACAGCCGATTGCGAAATCGCTGGCATCACAGACCACATGAAATGGCCTGTCCTGATCGGCTATTGCTAGGACTGGGGATTGTATCAAGCTCTGCTTGATACCCTCAAAGGGGCGTTGACATTCAGCGTTCCATAACCACCTCTCGTTCTTTTTCAACAAACGAGAGAGGTGCACAGTCATCTCGGCGTAGTTGCGTGAATACTTATGCAAATACGCCGCTAGCCCAAGGATTTTTCGAAGACCTTTGACATCAACTGGCACAGCCCAGTCGGTGATCGCCTTGATCTTTTCGGGATCAGGACGTACACCGTTCTTACCAACGATGCACCCAAGAAGTGGTATTTCGCTTGCTGCAAATATACACTTCTTGAGGTTAGCATACAATTGATGCTTTCGCATGATTGTAAGAACTTGTCGGACGTGGTACCTGTGAACCTCAACGTCCGACTTTCCATCCATAGCTCGACTATGGATGAATACGTCATCGAAATAACTCGGCGCGAATTCTCGTACTGGTCTCAACAGATGTGATACACATCTGTTGAACGTGGCAGGGGCATTACTAAGCTCTTGTGGTATTACTAGCTATTCCCAGAGCATGCCGCTAGGCGTGCTAACTGCGGTATAGGGTATATCCCGTTCCCGCATTAGGATTTGATAGAAGCCATCCATCAAATCCATGGACGAAAAGATGGTACTCTTTGACATACCATCAATGATTACGTCCTTCCTCGGTATCGGCGTCTGAGCCGGTACCGTTGCAGCGTTCAATTTGTTGAACGCGTGCACTATCCGCCACCCTCCTGTTGCTTTTCGCACACAGAAGGTCGGAGAGCTATGTGGGGAAGTTGATTCCCTCACATGGCCCGCTGCTAAACGATCGGCAAAGAACTTGTCGATCGCGAGTACTTGTTCACGAGGCAGTGGCCACTGCTTCATGACACAGTACTTCGAGCCTGGTTTAAGCTCGACCTCGTGTCGGGTACCTTTATCCTTCGGTAATTCGCACGGAACAGTTTCAGGGAATGCATCCTTGAATTCAACCAAATCTTCATAGAGAGGATTTTTCTTGAGCGATTCCCATGATTGGGAGTCATATCGCTCAATTCGTGTCTTTTCATCTAGGACACTCTCGTCCATAGATGAACTACTGAGAACTCTCTCGTTCTCAGTAAACACTGTTGCTGACCTTATGTCGGTTACACACTCATCATCAGCGACGAGTACGCAGATCTGCTTGACTTTGCCACTACGCAGATCTGCTTGACTTTGCCACTACGCAGATCACGCAAGAACCTTTTATGCTCGAGCGTTGGCAACTGAGTGATCTCCGAAGTTAACTTCGGAGGCGCAATCAGATCAAGTGTATAAGCGCCTACACTTGATCCGTTATTGACTATGACATTCAATGTCTCTGTCATTTCCTGGGGACTTATTCCCTCAGGCTTGAAGGACTTATTCCTTCGTCTTCCCGGGGACTTATTCCCGCGGGTTTAGGGGAACTTTTTTCCGCCGTATTTGTGATCTTGGGACTTATTCCCTTTACTTCCTCTAGCTGGGGTTGCGCAACCACAGCGAGATCCTCTACGAAAGACTCTCCAGTCGATCTGGGATTATCGTTTCGCTTAACCTGAGCGATCGATTGTTTCTCTTCTAGATGTTCCCCGCTAGGGATACATCTTTGTCCCAGTCCACCCGACTTATTCGAGTGGTGGACCTTCGGCGCAGCCTGTGTTTCCTCACAGCCGCCGGAACTTTGCTCCGAAGTGTAACCGTTTGTTACACTAAGGTTTTGTGCAGTCGTACTAACGACCGTACCACAAGTGAGGCCATCGCACTCACTCGTAGTACATCCACACGCTTGTGGACGCTCCAAAACGTTCATCAGATGGCCATCTGATGAACAAGCTGCAGGCATCGTTACTGTCCGATGTTGCCAGTTTACCCGTGGTTCGTACCTTCTGAGCCACGGTATTCCAAGGATGACATCAAATTTGTCATCCAAATCCAATACGATAAAGTCATCGTCATATTGGGTATCTTCTAGCGTATAGTGGATCTTCACTATACGCTTCATGACGGTTACGGATGCGCCTGTCGCAAGACGTACCGTCATCCTCGTAGGAGGTGTGTCACATTCACTGAATTTAAAGTGACCATCTTCTAGCGATTGGCGTCGCATAAAATTGTTGGACGCCCCACAATCGACTAGAGCTCGAAGGGACAACTTATTTGTCACTTCGAGTTTCAAGGTAATGAGTGAGTCCTCATTACCTAGAGCAGCAACGCACAACGTTTTTGCGTTGGGAGCAACCTTCATCAAGAGGCCTACAAATTCTCTTGACGTTGCTGGATCAGTAGGGTGCTCCGCACCTACTGATCCTGTCCGTTTTTTGACGGTCCATCCCGTTGTTGCGTCTTTGCACCAACTCCGGACCCTCGTCCCTGCCCCTTTCTCATGGGTGGACGGTCACTACGCCCAGTGTCGCGAGACACTGGACGAGGGGCACTACACTCGTAAGCGTAGTGTCCTGTCTTTTGACATCTGTTGCATCTCTGCAACTTCTTGTAGTCTGTAGAGCGATCCTTCTCGCTCTCTACATAACAGAGTTCCATCGGCTCTGGACCTCCGTTGTCATATCGTCTCGGTTGACGATATGATGTCGAGCTGGCGCGAGCCTGTCTCAGACTGAAGTCTTCCTGCTCCGCAATGGAAATGGCTTGTTCTAGCGAATCTAGTTCAAGCCGGAACAGGTGAGTCTTGACGGGACCATCCGCAAGACCCTGCATGAACACCGAAACCAACGTGTGTTCATCCACCGGATTGGAACTTATACAACTCGTAAGATGTCGTATATGTTGGGCGTAAGCGTGCACATCACGCTTACCCTGTTTGAGCTTCAAGAGTTCGGTTCGAGCCCTGAACTCAGCTCTAGGCGGTTCAAACGTTTGTCTGAGCCGCGACTTGAAGACTTCCAACGACCTAAACGCATGTGGGTCGTGCGACTTGAGCCCCAGTGCCCAAGTCTTGGCACGTCCTGCCAGATTTGACTGGGCAAATGCAACTTGCATATCCCCGTCGTCGATGCGACGCGCCCTTACGGCGTCGTCTGATTCAACAAACTATCTCAGGAGGGAGTCTTCTTCGACCCCCCTATACTTTGAGATGTCAATCTTCAAAGTCTCGGGTCGACGCGAGTGCATCGACCCGCCAGCAGCAGCCTGCTGCTGTCTCAACAGTTCAAACTGTTGAGCACCTTGTTCTCTCAACAACTCTGCTTGTTAAAAACCTTGTTGGTGAAGCAAGGCTACTTTCTCGCGTTCAGCGTCAAGTTCATTTTGAATGAACTTGGCGATAGTAGCATGTTGGGCATCTCTATTGAGAGCCTCTAGCATGACGCTAACAGCATGGATGCCCATGGTCGAACCCATTAGTTCAACCGCATCCCATTCGACATCGCTCAAATGGGAGTAGCCGTCACGCGTAGCGTGAAAGCTTTGGTCATCATCATCATCTAACATATTCATGTTGGATGTGAACGCGGTCCTTGGACGGACTACGAAGTGCTACCAGGTGTAACGGGGCACCCTGAAGCTTGTACTGGTGACAGTACAAGCTACTTATTCTGTTAACAGAATAAGGCGGTGCCTCGTAACTTCACGTACACTCGTACGTGCAGAGGAAGACGGTAAGAAGAAGTGAGTACTTGGTTAGAGCAAAAAGTAGAACTGTATTTATAATAGTTAATGTCTGCAATAAATCACTATTTATCTTCATCTAACTATGTCTAAATACAAATGTGCAAATCAGTTATCTGCTCACCACTCATTGCGTGCGTCTGTCGTGGCGCGTCTTCGTTGGTTGATATAATGGCCTATATCAACCAATTAGGAACTACTTGTAAGTGCTACAGAATATTTGTCCTTATGACATATTTCTGAGAATATAACTCTTATAGTTATATTCTATTAACAATTTCTTATAAATTGTTATGTAACGATTCACCCCGTTACACCTCGCATGATCGAAACTCGTAGTCTAACAATAAAGGCAGGGACACTATGTCGTAGTCATTAACTCGTGACACGCTTCTTTGTGAGGACAAACGCTTTGTCACAATATCTTATCAAGCTACCGACTCGCGACGTTTTAACATGTTACAAAGCCCTCGCATGATCGAAACTCGTGTACGCTTGAGTGAGATGAGCAGCTTGTGCAGCGTCCATCCGATCCATGACTCGGATATGGGCATACAAAGCTGGTTTGAAGATGGTCCTGCAAAAATCACGTCAGGAGTAGCCGTCTTCTACGATGCCTTTTAGCATCGTAGAAGACGGCTACTCCAATGTAGGAACCCCATGGGTTCGACTTTCGTTCGCATTGTGGGGCAATTTGCTTTTTTTATCTTGTGCTCATATCGGTAGCTACCGGTTTAGTCCCCCACAAAGCACCGACAATCTGCTAAATCAGTGCTCGCCGACCCAGTCACGTGAACATCCACTTCACAGCAGGGGACCATCTGGTTCCCAATAAGCTCAAGCGACAGAGTCGAGGCCACATGCAGACGCCGCATGAGCACGAGGCAAACGAGCGCGTGGTGTACAGCGGTCTAGAAACCGACTCTCCCCGGCCACAATCTGCTGCTGAGTCCGGACGATGGCTCTTCTTCCGCGCATTCTCGTGGAGCTGCGCTGGCCGCGGGGACGAAAGCCGCTGGAGACGGTCACTGCGGCCATCGGCTGTACCCTCGACCGCGTTATTCTCTCTTTGAACTTGGTGGGTGAAATAAACAGGTGACAATACAATGCAATGCAATGCAATACAATTATGGTATTGTTTCGTGATTGGCTAATCGACTGCAAAGTGGCTGTAGAGGACAGTGGAGACGAGGCAGGAGAAGACGTGCACTTCAATCCGTTCGAGTCCCTTTTGCAGCAGCAGCAGACATTGATACAGAAGACGACAGAGGCGGTAACTCCACGTACTGAAGAAGTTGTGACTTGCTGTAGTGATACAGAAGCGCCACACGATGATTCGAGTCGGACAGTGGCGACTGGTAATCAGTCAAAGAAGAAAAAAACGAAGGAGAAGAGAGGGAGTGGACGACTTGTCAGCTGTGAAAGCAGCTCATGCGACAGCTACAGCAATCGAGGACTTGCGTGCTCGATATTGAAACCGAATCGAACGTCTGATAAGCTCATTGCTGACGTCAATACGCGCGTCGACAGGAAGCTGGGTTTTGAGACAGCAGAATCAAGACCAGCGAGGTGGAGCTCGAAAAAACCATCAGCTGTAGACACCAAGAACCGCCGCAAGTCGCTGAGTGGAATTCAGAGGCGACGCTCACAGGTGGGGGCGGACGATGCAAAGAGGTGGGCGCATCATTTACCTTTTACTGGATGACACAAGAGATTGATTATGATACGTATGGTGATGCTACGGTAGACGCAAGTCGATGCCAGCAAATAGCCTTGACCCGCGTGCAGTGCAGAATCGAACGATCATGGTGGATGGCAAAACGGATGGTCCGAAGCAGCTTATGTCTGATGTTTTGCGGCGCGCTACGTTGCTGTCACAGGAACAGCAAGCAAGTTGCAATGAAGCTCCGTTTTGCCAGGTGCGTGTTCGTGGCGATAAAAGTGGACTGAGGTGCTCAGTAATTCGTGTGTTCGTGTGTTCTTACAGTATTTTGTGGTTTTGTAATGCTTTACTGCAAAGGCTGACGAAAACCCTATGGCCGGTGATGTTATCCTCGACACTGAGCATCAGATGCGAGCTGAGCGTTTTACGCCGCAGGTGTTTTCTCCGACCAAGCCTGCATCGACAAGCACTGTCCATAGTCGAAAGCCGTATGGTGATACGATTGTGTCCAAAATTCGTGGTAGCATTGGTGACGTGATTCGCAAAGCAATCCGGAAAAGCAGTCGAGATCTGACGCTGCTGCGATCGCACGGCCAGCGCTTGCTCCCAAAACAGAGCAGACATAGCTCATCGACGGCTTCTATCGGAGCGATTGAGTCAGTCCAATACCGTGCATACGTCGTGATCCGTCTGATGCGGTTTTGTGGGACATTGCCAGATTTCATCGCGTACGAATGTCGTATGCATCAAGTGACGAGTAATCTGGAGAAAACAGCCGCGGATGATCTTGTGAAAGACTCAGTACTTTTTGAAGCACACTTTCGTCCGCAAACAGCAGAGCACCTCAAGTTGGCCCCGGGTAATTTGCTCAAAGTTTTTGAGCCTCTTCACTTCTTTCTCGAGCACGTAGCAGCCGGTTCCATTCGTAAGCCAAGGTGGTTTCTTGCTAGCACACAATTGGCGCAAGTAATTGATGACGATCGTCACCATGCTGAATGACTCGAAAAGTGCGTATACGTTAACGAAGTTGTACAAGCTGCGGGCTGACACAATCAAACCACTCGCTGTTACCGATTTGATTGCCCAGGGCTTCTGGTCGACACTTTGGTGGAGTCGTAGTAGCCCGGATCGTGACGTTATTTCGACGGGGAAAGGTGGTGGTGCTCTTGCAACCGCGACCGAATTCTATGCACTCGCTGCAAGCTGACGTGGTCAAGCATCGTCTCAATGTACTGTTGGGATTCCATTGCCCGTTACTATCTTGCCTCGTGATGTGTTGTCGTTGTGGGTGTGGGTGTACACGTCATTTGCCTACTAAGTCGTTCGGCTATTGATCTTCTGCCCATCCGCACAACAACATGCATTGACGCTGTTTGTTATTTCGTTGGCCACACCGAAGCAAACGAGTTGGCGTCAATGTTAAGTTGGGAAGAAATGAAAGAGCCATAAGTTTGTAATTCAAAGGGCCGGGAAACTCGAACAACTCAGAGTGTTGTCGAAACCAATAACGCCTACTTTCGCTAATGACGTCGTAGCAATCACGTGCATTCCAGCCGCGTGTTGTATCGAATAGGGGGGCAAGTAGCGGCCAAGTTGCGTTTCGGTGGATAGGTCAAACAATCAGCTGCATCGCGACTAGTTCTGTTGCCTTCTGGAACTGCGTGCAACACGTGGACGCTGAGGCCGGTAGAGGACGGTCAAGGGATCATTTGGAGCATGAATGACAAAGAATAAGGACGCGGAAAAAATGGAAACCTGCGTGAAGGAAATGCTGAAAAACTTGCACGTACTAGCACATGCTACTTGGTGAAGCCTGGCTCCGAACAGAAGTGTCTGCAGTACTGTGAAAATAGATGCTGCGTCCGTGTCTGCTTGTCGTCTTCCAGCGCCGACTCTTGTTGGCGCGTTCGATACAATTAGAGGGTGGTCATTCTGCCAACATGACAGTGAAGCAACAATGTTCTTGAGCTCTGCAAAGGAAACACCAGCTTACGCGATGCAATGCTACCTCCAGCGGCCGCTTTAACGTTAGCGTTACCAGGGCACTGATGATTTGATGGCTACAAAAGATCACGGGTAGCTCAATTTTACGATTGTGAAGACCATGACTTCAGATATACGTACACATGGTGCAAATGGGGCAAACGTGTGATATACAAACATGCATTTAGCATTGCATGAATCATTGCACCGCACCCGTATCGCAATGCGAATGCCAGTCTGTCTTACGCTGCCTCTGTGCAGTGCGCACCGATTCGATTAACTCCCGTTGATAGCCCATTCTTTCAGCAGCGTCGAGCATTTGATGCTTCCATTACGTAGCATACCTTCCAATGTCCGGGGTGCAAAGTTCAGATGTACAGCACGAAATTCAGGCTGTAGCAAAGCTGAAGTATGCTGCTTCATGCATCCATCCCCACCGCGCCCAATCTTGAAAGCGTCTCCCGCGTCCTTGACGAGCTTCAGCCGCAGCAGATTCTCCAGAGCTTTTTGGGCTTCGCTGCGCGTTGGAAGTTGAGTGAGCATGTCGTGTTGTCGAAGGAAGTTCTCCCATCGAGCGTATACCATTTCCAGCGTGAACACTTTTTGGTCACTTTTTTCGAGATGACCCATACCGATCAACAGCGCAATGCCGTGCTCTGTCACAGTCTCTAGCACAGCTAGTTGGTGGTCCTGCTCCAGCAATTGTCTAGCGCGCCAAAAATGCTGAGCCGATAGTAGCGGTGCATCAATATCCAGATAGTGGACTGCAGCAGAAGTCAGCCTCACGAAAAACACTTGCGGCTTGCCAATGTCGTAGTCAAACTCGAGGCTCGCAAGGAACTTGCTTTGCTCCAGTAGCAGCTTCTTCACTCCACAAGAAAAAGCTGCGGTGTATTCGGTAGAAGGTTGTCGTAACCCGCTGTGAGCACTCCATGGGAAAGTGTCGAGAGAAAGCATGTGCTCGAGGTGTTGACGTATCTGCGCAAACGAGGGTCTCTCCACGACAATTTGAAGATTCGAGAATCTGCAGTTTAGCCGGCAACAAATACGACAGCGAAGACGATTTGATCAGCACACAGAGCTTAGACGACTTGGAACTTACACGGAAGTAGAACATACGTGCACGTTTACCTGGAACGCACTCGCTTTTCCAGATTGTCCACGACATTGTAGTTATCAGTGATACCAAGCACGCCCATCTTGATGTCTTTTGCCTACGTTCAGTCGAACGACATGTTGACTATGTGATACGCTCTAGCATGAATGATAAAACGACATCGTGACATCGCACCTGCAGCCAGTCCAGCAAGTTATACAGCAGCAGCTGTTTAGTTTTGCTCTTTTCTCGCACAAATTGGTCTAAGGCGTCTAGAATGACAACCACGTGATCTCCAGCTTTGGCTTTCGAGACAAGCAAACTGCGCAGATACTCGTACATGTTCCAGTAGGACACACTCTGTTCTCCATCATTGCAGTGACACCCAATATAACATCAGTAGCTAGCTGCTTCGAAGATATTGTCACCATCAAACGTCATTGTTTCGAACCTACAGGATGCTTCACTGCAGTGGCTCGAGTTAGCTGCGCCGTTAGTTCCTTAAAAGCCTCTAGCTCGTTCTGCAGTATGACACCATTGAGGTATACGACGGTGAATTCCCCAAATTTTCCACGCAGGTTGCGCATTGCGTGTGTCACAATGGAGCGTCGGCGACTACTGTCCGACCCGAGCAACAGACCTGACTGGTTCTCGCCAACCTGCACTGTGCGCTCGAAGAGCTGCTCGAGCTGCGTCACCGCCTCCAAACTGCCTTGACCCGTTACCGCATTTCCAGAGACAAAAGTGTGGACAGAAGACACTTCGCTCTTTAGTCGCATCCGCAGGGCGCTGCGAGCAGAGAGCACCTCTTCTTTCAGGTACATGGTCTTGTGATGACTTGGTTTGCCACTCACTGCTCTGCGTCCCCTAGAGACTTCGTTAATTTGGACCAAAGAGATTGTAGATAATCCAAAGCACGAGTTGGTAATTTGTAGGAAGATTCGGGCCGAAAACCAAGCTCAAAGCTTCGGAAGACAGGGCCCGTGGACCGGTGACGATGTACCCGCTGTACGCTATTCACTTTGCTCGGACATCTCGATGATAAGTAGCAAGCTGCGCCATTGTAGAGTAGCAAAATTGGAGGAGGCGATTTTGATATGGCGACGTGTTCAATGGGACAACAATGTCGACCGCGGACCATTATCTTTGCTTAACAACTCGATCATCGACCTGACCATCTTGTGGTAGCTCCAGCAATCACGACGCAGCATTGTAGTTGGTAAGAAGACCACATCTGATACGGTTGTCATCAGGATCCCAGCCAAAGACGCTCGTCCGAGAACAAAACGCATGCGATTAAACATCAGAAGAAGGTCTTGGCGAAACGCATCTCGAGAAGTCTTCTCTCGGCTGTTAAAGACAAGGCGATTCCACAACAATCACATTCGTATGCAAAACTGGCGAACCATCGAGTGAGCTCATGCGTGGACAAAGTATGGATGTTACCATTGTCGAAAGCCATCAGTAGCATCGTACATTCTATTGAAGTTTATGTCTGTATAAAGCAATGGCATGTGAAGTTCAATACGAATGCGATTACACAATGCGAAGGAGTCTGTAGCACGACATGCAGGCGTCTGTGAGGATTCGTCGTAAAAGTGCATGTGCACCATTTTGTACAGTCGTAATCTCCAGCCAATTTTAGCACGCGAATTAGACGGTATGATGAAGGTAGATTTTTAATCGAGTCTCGATGTCTTCTAAATTTAGTAGAAGCTGTTTATGCATTTTTCTAAATGTCGTCCAAATATGGCATTGGTCCTTTATTTGTGCATCATCTAAATATTATTATGCTCAACAAATAAATTAGTCAGATAATTATTTAGACTCGTATTTTGTGTGATGTGGTACCCTCATTTATTCTATGTCATTCCAATGACTGGTTGTATCCAGCGTCGTTGCTGCATACACTTTCGGTTATGATTGGCTTGGTCTAAATCACTAAAAAAAAGGGTGGTATGAAAAGGCAAGCTGCATCATGCGACGAAACTAAGGTGCGAGATTAGACAGCTAAGCTGTCCACAATATTCCACCTTAGCCAATGGCGTACTAACGACACCTTGCACGCCTTTGGACGTTGGATGGCTAGTCACATGAGGCACTACAAGTCAACGTAACACACAGCACGACCTTTCCACGAAGGATACATGCTGTAATAGGGTCACATGATGGTTGACATAACCGGTACTGTGTCATGTGGAGCACACAGAAGATCAGTGAATCGGATAGCTGTATTGTTGTATCGAATACGCCAGCAGTGATACCATACCCTATCGAAAACGGGTAGATAGTACCCATCCTAGAGGGCAAACAAGATACTTCGGTACTACGTAATGTTTACGCCTGAGTGGGCTAAAGGCGGCCTCAGCATGTCCAAATCCGATGGATCGCGCAAAGTGCTCTGCCGACGACATATTAAGGCACATGGAGATTTTATACGACCCTGTATCCCCTAAATATCACCTATATTACTAGTAGCGCAAGAATGTTGTCAACAATCTCACTGGATTCAAATGCTTACCATGTCAACACCTTGCGCATATTATTTTGACACAACGTCTTTCTAGTTGCTCACCTTTTTAAGTGTACAAAATCGTTTGATGTATCCTAGCCTGCTGCATGTTAATTTGCCTTACGACATTGCTCTTGCGTGTCGCACGCAGAATACAGAGCTAGGTAAGGTTTCCATTTGAAATATGTATTGGTAACGGATGATAGCGACGTGGTGATGGTGCCGACAAGACTAGAATGGTAATGGGTACGGGTGCGAAAGAAAGGATGCAATGTTCGCTACGAGATAAGTATTAAGTATTAAGGAATACGATGTTATAGTTAGACCTGTCTGACATTGCAAAAACTAATGGTATTTATTTCCGATAATGAATAAATGGTTCTTTCTGTAGCTTGGTGAGCAGTCAACGAAAGCCTAGCGGGTGGTGAACTATTTCCTTGCAATGATAACTGAAAGCATCTGAGTGATAAACAAAATGTCTAATTTTAAGATGAAACTGTAAGAGATTTTTCATAGGTTTAAAATGTAAGTATATTTAAGTATTTAGTATGATACCGTAAAGTTCAAGGAAATAATATTTACTTGTTTCTTTGCGGAGCGATGTTAGAATAAACGGCTGTCTTTAATTAGGTTGCAGATTCAAAGTTTATCACACTATTTTTTACGTCGAATACGCTGATCAGGTTTGATGCATATTTTTTAAACAATCTGCAAGATCTATTTACTCGTGGACTCATATCACACTTTGACTTACTTTTCGGGCTGAAAAGGATCATCCTTCGAGTGATAATGTACTGTAAATAGTCTTCGTAACATAATGAATGCTTCATCGAAAATCAACTTTTCTTTAATTCTGGCTTGCTTGATCTACACTATTTAAAATAGCTTTATGTGAAAAGATCCTTATTGATAAAAAGTAAAACGATTTGCACTTTGTCGCATTTACAGCATTAAAGTACCTTTTAATTTGATCATTGACTATTTTATTTTCAGTTGTCTAAATTGAAAATCTACACTGATATACAAAGGAGTCTATTACGTACCATGCCCTTCTATTATATGTATCGCAGTACATTTTTAGATCAATCAGGTTCCCTCGATATGTATGGAATAGTACCCATAACAAGCGCAGACCCATTTCAGACGACAACGAAGCCACTACACTATGCTGCGGACTTCACAGAATGTCACTGTAACGGGGCACCCTTTGTTCGGGGTGCCGTGAAACTTCACGTACACTAGTACGTGAAGAGGAAGCTAATCTACACAACAACTTGGCTGAGTAAAGGGTAAAAAGAGAACTGTATTTAACATAGCTAAGCTATCAAAATAACTTCAGTCTTTATCTAACTATATTAAACTACGCCGTCGTATGACGACAACCTGCTCACCACTCATTGCGCGCGTCTAGCAGCGATCGTGGTAATCTATGGTTGATGTGTCTTACATCAACCAATCTTAGAGCAGTGCATAAAAATTATCCTACAAGGGGTTAATCTTTCTCCAATTTTACCCATTTCGTATAGGATTGGTAGAATTTTGTCATGCTAGACAATATCCGTATTGACACCGTTTGGTGTCAATATCATGTAATGGGCCACCCCGTAACAGTCACGAATTTCTTGTCGCTTGATATAGCGTAGCAGCACTTCTGCCAAGCACAAGGAAGGACCAAGAAGTCAAATGAGGAAGATCGCTCACTTTAATAATCGATTGGGTGCAACTATTATCCAGGCTGTTGTTCCACTGCGCTCACGGCGGAACAGACAAAGTATATTGCATTTACAAGCATGCTAAAAGAAGTACGCATTTATATGATCACTCTCTTTGGTAACGATGATTTCAAAGGTATAGTCGATTGTTTACACCTCCACCTACATCCAAACCTATGCAATACTTCCTTTTCGCTTTCGTTCCACGCAACAAAAAGAAATGACTGATGAAATCACAAAATCGAAATGTGGGTAGAAAACGGCACAATTATAAGTACCACTTCCTTATGTTATTCATACAATACGTGATGTGGTACACAAAACCGAAGGATGTGGTACGTACAACAAGGCCCTATTTATTACATATTTATAGCCAACACATATAAATACTACTTTTTGCTAAAAAAAATAAAGGATTCGATGTCCATCCTCCACCTTTTTGTTGAATAGCCCTTATCACCTTATGTTAGCTTTTAATTGGTCAGAAGGCAAACAAAAACCAATTATTCAACATGTTTAAAACAGCCAACTTGCACTTCCTGTTCAACCACCTTTCTTTTCATCGAACGACACAAAGAAGGACCAAGTTCGGCGAGCACATGTTATCGTTGAGAGCAGGGTCTTCCTTAAATATTGAGTAATTACCAGCAATTACTCCGAGCTGGTGATGAAAACGGATGCGGACTACCCTCACCTCCCTACTTACTTGCGGCAGACGATCGCGAGCACAATTTGAATGAGGCAATTGGTCCCACATTTGAGTTGTGACGGTGAAATCGAATGCGATCAAATGGTCACCACGTCTTCGCCTAATGAATCGTTAGTTTTTCTAATTGTCGACCTGTGTACCCTGCAGTGCTGTGACCTACTAGCATACCTAGAGCAGCCCAGGAACTTCTACTTGGCACTTTTTCAAGACATGAACATTCATTTTCCGTCACAGCAATTTCTAAAAAGCACATTTAAAACGTCTGCAACGTCGATACAACCAAGGATATGGCCAATCGCCGTGACCGCTTGTAAATATCTTTGGCGGCAATTTCACTATGGTAAGGGTCACCCAGGAACCGGTTTAAAAACGCTAGATTCACCACCATGTTCTGCAGATGACTTTCTCTTGTTATCAGCAAACCACAAGACTATCCAGCTTGAGCTGAGACCTTCAATCTGATACCGAAGATACCAACAATCACAATCACAGCATTTATTGCAAACATCCTGAGTACAAGTACTTCCCCACTTACTTAGTCTGCAATTATATAAACAAAGGCGTCGATGTGATCACCCTCTACAAAATATTGTGGTCAGCTGTCGCGTTTATCGGCGTCAAACTCACTCGGTACGTTGTCAATTGTCTCGTCGCTCACTTGATCGCCTGTAGTCAGCACGACGATTGAGCCTACCTTCAACAGAACTTGTATGCGAAACCCTGGAGTTGTTCAGAATGCTACACAAGACATCATGGTTACCTGATCGAACGAATGTTATTGTAACGATTTATCGTGGACCTGCACAACCACGCAAATGTCTGCTTCCCTGGCATACATCTGAGACCTCAAAACACCTACTTTTTCGACAACATCCTCAGTTTTGCGCAGTT